TTTTATAATTGTTGTTTATAATTTGTACAATTAACCTCCCTGTGGTTCGACCCCGGTCTTGCCGGGTTATTTATTACTTCGACGCTCCTGCACTTGGGAGAAGACATCAATCTTTTCATCGTGTCAATGAGGATAGCTGATCCTTATAAAGGAAATGTTTCCCAGCCAAGTGGTTCGAGCCTTTGAGGTGGTTAGAGATGCCACTTTTATTTGTTTGAATGTGACAACTCGATTAGTCTTCTCGGCTGAAGAAGACAATAAAACAAGAACAAACAATGTGTTACATGATTTCTTCATTAAAAACAAGTGACAAGTTATCTGCTTAAATCCTGAAAATTAGGGTTTTCTAATTTAAAATTTTATAAATTTCAACTTGGTCCATATTATCCTAATTTAAGCTCAAACATCCTTAACTAGGACAAAACTGATTAATTTTATCCAATTAAACCCTGTCAAAAATCAATTGAAACCCTTCAAGTTTGATATCTTTTTCAAAGTAGTCATTCTTTTTTAATTTGTTCTGTTTGATCTCCAATTAAGCCTTAAACTTTGATTTTCTTCAATTTAGTCCTAGAAAATTTTGGTATAGTCCTTAATGTTACACGCCTTTTACAAACAGGTTTTTGATCTTGAATTTCTTCATTTTAACCCTTAATTGAGCTCTAAACTTTGATTTTCTTACAATTTCACCTCTAATTTCATTCAATTAAGCTTGTAAAAATTAAGTCTGGTATTTCAAAATTATAATCTTCTCAATTAAGCTCAAATTAAGTTTTCAAACTTAATTTTTCACTAATTAAATTCTTAATAAAATTGATTTGACTCATTTACATTATAATTAATTCTTTACACTTAATTAAATCTTCTAGTTTTGACTTAAATTAATTTATAAACTTAATTAGTTCCCGTGATTAAATCAAATTGATTTACTAAAAATCTAATCAAGTCCCCGAACTTAATTTTTATGTAGATTCATCCAATATTTATCTTGAACTTGCGTTATCTTTCACATTTAGATCTTTCAAATGCTCATTTGAATTTCTAAAATTGCCATAGCTTCAGTTTGGTCACTACATCTTTCATTTATATGTGGATCCTTCTTTAGCTTGCTCTTGCCAACCAAGTTGCTTGTATTTTTATTTTTTTAGCTTTTTCTCTCTTTTTTTTTGTATAAAAGAGAAGGAAAATTTTGAAGAATTCAAAATTAAATTATGACAAACATAACACATGCATATATGTATAATATTTATCATTCAATACACACACACTTCAAGCGTATGTGTGTTTATATTACTATTTTAATAATTGGTGGAGAGAGGGGGGTTAGGACCCCTACAAGGAAATTTTTCCCGGCTCCTCCTTGTATACAATAATTAAAATTTTAATTTTTTTTAAAATAACTCTTTTAATTTGGTTCCCTTTAATTTTTTTTCTTATTTCACCCATGATTTTAATAATAATAATAGATACCCAAAATTTAATAAAAGAATATAAACAAATAATAATAGATACCCAAAATTTAATAATAGAATATAAACATCTAAATTTTTTAATCAATAAATAATAAATGATTTTTGAATATAAAAAACCCAAAATACCCATTAGCATCCCTTATTAACTTCTATCATATATCCAAAGTTTTGCATCCCACTTGCAAAGTAATACATTTTGCAAACCTTACAAGTAAAAACCATCGGGAGCCTCTCACTCAGGCGGTATTGCTGACAAGGTAGTCGAGAAAAATTGATCAAACTTTTTTCCCAAGAAATGAGTCAAAAAGTATGAAGATTATCATTGTTTTAGAAACTAGTTACAAAGCCAGAATCATCTTTTCAAACAAAGGATAATAGCGAAGTAAAGATCTTCTTTTCGGCTAACACAATTATCAACATAAAAACTCAAGTGTTTTTGGACAATAGGGTTAACACCCAATCCTTTTTAGTAGTAATTAAAGGTATTTTGGGTATGAAATGGAGTTTGTACAATATTTTCTTCAAAATGAGGTAAGAAAATAGTATCATATATTCAAACTTTTTGACAATCTTTTTAACAATCTTTACAATCTTCATATCCCACAATTATCAACTTAATTGTTTTATGATTCAAAAAATCATGATTTGATTTGTGGATTCATATTGTAGTCTAATTTAGCTTGAAGAATAGATAGAATATTTTGCATAAATAATCTAAAGATACTAATTTTTAATATTACTTCTAATAAAGCAAGAATCACCTTAAAGATATTTTTAATTTATACATGATTCAAATATTGAAATTCATTCATGATTTAGTGTGTTTGTTTTTGCATTACAATGATTTTTTTTAAAATTATTTATTACCTAAAAGAATATCAAATTAATATATTTTTAGATTTTTTTAGATGATACTAATATTAAAATATAAAATATAAAATAATTATCATTTTAATAACTTTTCATTCTAAAAACACTTTATACCACAATCTCAGACTCCCAATCTACTCATTATCAACAACATTTCCCAACACACTTAATTTATTCTCAATCAAGAAAAAAAGAAGAAAATCAAGCATGTATGCACATTTCTATCTATAATATTAATTCCAATATTAAAGAAAATCATGATAAGAGCAATCTTTTAGAATACTCGAAGCATCAAATCGTTGTTCAGGACTCAAGGACATTGGGAAATTAATTAAAAACTTGATTCTTAGATCACCTCTCTTTCCTATTTCGTTTGAAGTCGGCATGCCTTGGCCCTTGATGATCTTGACATATCCTGGATATAATACGATGTCGAACGATAAGCTCATTCTCTCACCTTCCAGCAAGGGAACTGAAATGGCACAGCCTACAAGAGCCTGTGCCAATGGGATCTCAGCTTTATAGACCAAGTTATCATCTTCTCTTTCAAATAACAAGTGTGGTTTTTCATCTATCAAGAAAATCAAGTCAGCTGGCTGATAACCTGGTCTCTCGTCACCTTTTCCTTCGAATGTAATTCTTGTTCCTTTCTTCCATCCTGGCTTCACTGTTATGTTCACCATCTCTCCTTGCTGTTCAATTATCCTGCCATGATATATATAGACACATATCATCGTCATTTTATTGTTATTTTTAGGCATTGAGGTAGCTTCTGTTTCTTCATTCAACCATGGAAAAAAAACTGTTTTGTTATCAGATAGCTACTGATTTCTGCATTGGACTCCACATATTATTGCGTTTCGAACCTTAATTTTATAGAAATTAAAATAAAATATATAGCTTTTTTATTTTTAATATGTATTTGGTAATGTAGTATAATGTGCTTTATAAAAATATTTTTTTTATTGAAAATATATTAAAATGATATATATATATATATCAACATATACGAAAATATATTAAAATGATATATATATATCAACATATGAAAACAATCGAGAAACATCTACAAGCGTAAATTTAGTACCTTCTTTTCAAACACCTTTTTTTTCTTAAATCAATGTTTTATAAAACCACAACGAAGCACACACCAAAAACTAAAACAATCACACACCAAGTGTCTATATCTTTATTTTGTTATTACCTGATGAGAAAATACCTAATAGTAGTAAGACATGTCGAACTTTTATTATCTAATGGCATAAAATCTTCTTCTCTAGCATTCATGCAAGTTTTTCAACAGTGTCAAGCTATGCTCATAATTTGATTCAGTCATATCGAAGCTTACCCATTTATCATAACGTCTCTACTGGTCATAATTTGCTTGACACATCCAAAGCACAACTCCTCTAGGGTGCACTCAAGCTTCTTTTCAGTTGGTGGAGGTTTTTTCAAAAGAGTAGATTGAGAGAAGATAATGGGGGATCTAGGGCTTATTCGACTCATACTTCTCTGCAAAAAGGGATTTTCTATGTCTAAACAACCTCGATGACTCTCGTTCCTTGGAGAGTTGTCTCTTGAACTTGCACCTTTTGGTAGAAAGGATGGACTTGTGCTAAGTGTAGAACTCTTTCTACTAAGACTTCTCAGGAGGATTGAAGGTCGATAAAAGAAACTCTCTTCCATGATTTTCCGAGGACTTGAGCCTCCCGGCGATATTGATACTATAGGCTCGTCGCAACTTTTTAATTTTTCTTTGACTTTGTTCTCATTAATAGCCTACATCAAGAAAGCAAGAAAAATAAAAGAAATTACATCATTCTTTTTTGCTTGAATTTATACACTGAATTTAATTTTTTTTTTAAATATATGCAGTTGTGCACATACATACAATATTCAAATATATATGAGATACCTTGAATGGTTCATTAATTTCTTGAAATTTGGCTTCAGCCTCGGCCTCAACTTTATTTGATGGGTTCCTATTAGGATTCCATTTCGTAACAAGCGACTTGTATACCCTATACATCTCTTTAGCGATTGCTCCTTAAGAATTCTGAGAATGAATCGTCGTTCTATGATTTTATTAAAATAAAAATATATAAATATATATATCTTCTATACATTTGGTAAGGAAATCATGCAGTGCCAACACGCATAGATTGGTAACTAGACAAGGTTGCAAGAGCCCCTGAGAGAGAATGTCTTAGAAGAAGAAGAAGAAGATGAAGATGATGATGATGATGATGAAGAAGAAGAAGAAGAAGAAGAAGAAGAAGAAAGATTTGAGGAAAAAAAATGAAATTCAGGAATTTTAATAGGCAAAGAGAAATGTGGGGGTAACAAACGAAGAAACTCGTGTAATATGCTTTAATTAGGCAAAATTTGTTTTCTTTTCATGATGGTAATTGGTTGGTTCTATTTTTTTCTGGTAAATGATAACAGGTTTCTTATTTTTCCTCTTTTTGGTTACAAAGAAGTAAGAGATCATGGATTCACTATATACTAAGATCCAGTTCATTGTTGATTGGAACAATAAGATATATATATTTTCATTCTTAAACAAAATCTTTTGGCTAACTATTAGAAGAAAAATAGTTTATTTGTCATTATTATATTGATAAGGAACAAATAAGTCCTTTGACATTTTAGATGTTTAATAAAATAATTTAATTACCCTTAAAAAAAAAATTGTGGTCCTGTAACTTTTTGGTCTTTTGATACTTTGATTGCATAGTGAAATGACTACGTTGCTCTTAAAAGGAAAAAAAGTTAAAATTGTTATCAAGAGACTTTTATGTGTTTTCATCATGGATTTTTAGTTATAATTAATTTTAATAAGGGGAAATTTGATTTTTTTATATTATAAATATAATTAAAAAAATAAAAGCTAATGGGAGGTGTCATACTTGACATCACGATGACCTTTAAAAATTAAATTGTGAAAATAACAGATTTCTAATATCATGTTCTTAGATGAGAAATGTCTTATTTAAAGAGTCGCTATTTAGTATTATAATTACTATGAATCCTAACTGGTCAACAGAGATTCTATGGTACGAGATTAGTTATGCGAAAGGAAATATACTATCACCCTTTAAATGTCCTACGTAAGATAGGTTGCATTGCTGGTTTTGTCTTAAATTGCTAAGAGTTTTTTTTTATTTCATTTTTATGGTCTTACTATAATATTCTTGATTCTGGTATCAATGAATAAATTTGTAAAATTTAGATTAAAAGAAAAGGAAACTAATTTTAGTTTATTTTTTTAGAGAAAAAAAAAACATGCATTGTATATCAGATTCACATTTCATAGTGAAGGTCCACAAATCGAATATGCCTATAAATAAATCAACAAAGATCTCTAATTTTTCCAAAATTTTTTGATATCTAAAAATGACTCGTTTGACCAGATATCAAAACAAAGAGGTGTGAAATAAAAGGGAAAGGCATAAGGGTGTGTTTTGCCAAACACACCCTTGGCCAAAAACAAATTAGGCTGGCTATGCTAGAGGCCTAGCCTAAGCTCTTCTTTTTTTGTTTGTTTTTGGGCTGGGTCCAGCTGATTAATACTTAAAAGTATATTTTTATCTAGATTTTAAATCATTATTTTGCACTTGAAGTATCAATAACTTTCTAACTAAAGCATATTTATAATAATAAGTCTGATACCATAAGATACCTTTAATTTATGATAAATATTCATTCTAAATGCAGGCCTATTGTAACAGTTTGACTGTACAACTCGATTAATGTTAAAAGATCCCAACATATCCTCTTTATTTGAGGATAATTTTTTTTATATCCAAAAATTCGGCAGAGTTTCATTTGCATTTAGGACATCCCAAGTTATCGACTATTATCAATTTACTCAATCAACCCATTATCACAAGGTCCCATAATTCTGGACCTTATATCAAACCTCATAATTCCACACCTCACACACACACATAAAAATCCTACGAGTAAGTTCAATATAAACATAGTCCAAATATCATATTATAAAATTTAAAAGAAAAGAAATACTAACATGCAAAGAAAGTATTTACAACATAATAAGTATTTTTAAATATTTCAAAAGGGTTAATTATAAGATAACTAAAAAACTACATGCTAAGCTGAAATTTTATAAATACATCAAGATTTATACAAAAGTATACTACATAAACACGTTAATTCCCTTTTTGTTTAACTTATATATTTACATAAGTTTCACAAAGTAGAGTTTTAAACTAATGATCTTCTTGGATATTTGATGGACCTGTTACATAAATAACATACTATTATATTGATAATATATATATATATATATATATATATATATATATATAATTAATGAATACGAATAAAGTATTAACTTTCTATTGGATCCATAAGAATTCCCTATTTGAGGACTTATATTTTCCTTATAAATCTTTTAATCCCAATTAACACTTATTTGTAGATTCTTAGTTTGAATACTCTTATTTATTTGCTTGAACTGGGTGACCTTATAAAGTCTAATCTTGTAACTCATTTCCCAGCAATTCTATCACGGACGCCATTAGTTGAAAGCTAATCTTGTAATTTTGTAATTCATTTCCCGACAATCCTATCATGGATGCCATTAGCTGAAGCTAATCTTGAATTTATGCTAGACTTTATTTATATTGAACACGACATTTATTGTAATTGCATTTACCAGAATAATTTTAAATTGTATAAGTGCACATAGGAGGAAAATCATGCACCTGTTTCACTTGTCTAGCGACCTCCCCTAACAAAAAATCCAATCCTTGTTGCTCCTCCTGAATCATAAGGAAGTTTTTGGTAATGATTCCTTCAAGCCGATATTAAAGAGAATCCATATTCATCCATTACTCATATGTTACTTTTTATGTATGTTCATTTCCTCATAATAACATACATGCATATATCTTGTATATTTTCAGAGTTAATATCTCAATATTCAAGTGTTCATATGATTCAATTCTCCTATATTCTTGTATATAGTATTCACATGAAAGTCTACTGTTATTGTCTAACTTTGAACTGTTATTGTTCAATTTTCAACTATTACTATCCAACCGTTACTGTCTAATTTTGAACTGTTATTGTCTAATTTTGAACTCTTATTGTCCAATTTTCAAATGTTATTGTCCAACCACCGTTACTATCTAATTTTGAACTGTTACTGTCCAATTTCCAACTATTACTGTCCAAACACTCACTAAATTTTTAACTATATATAAAGTTTTAAAACTTCATTTTAAGTGAGATTGATCTCATTAGAAAGCTATGACACGATGCTATAAGTTCTTTGAAGGGAGGAGAACCTAGTTTTGCCTCCAAAATAGTCAAAATTGTTCATTAACTACTTAGTCCTACTGCCCTACATAATCAGTCACGACTCAGTCTCAAATGGTAACCCATAACAGGAATTCTACATCTTCAAATTGAGCAATACTAGTTTCCCTAGTTAGCTAACATTCAAATCTACAATTCCTATGAGGAACCTAATCCTAATTCCCTCATCCTCCAACCTAAAATCTCACTGAAAGTCAGGAGACAAGTCTATCTAGATTTGTCTCCCCCTTTCCTTCGCACAATACTTTCATAAACTACATACGACACATATGAATTAAATTAATTTCAACAATAAGTACTTTTACCCCAATTTATGTCTAAGAACTCTAACCTGTGATTCAACATCAAGGTATCAATTCTTTATCGAATTTAAAAATGAATTTTTTTAAGATCATGTTTAGAATATCTTATCCGGTACAAATTAAGATTTTGATCTTCAACCAGCTGAAGACTTTTAACTGCCTCCTTTCTTTTCTTCTTGTTCAATTACTTGGCAATCTTTTGCTCTCAATTGTTTATCCCACCTATAAACTCTTAATCTTGGATGGGTTCTTGAAATTTTAGTGTTTCTCTCTCTTGATTTCTCAAGAATGGGTATAAAACTCTATATCTTGTCTCCTTATCGTTCATATAGATTTTTGGTAAGGAGAGAGTATTTATACTCTATATCTTTCCTTATTTGCATTTAGGCCCTGCCTTTTCCTTTAAGTGTATTATTCTCTTCAATTAAATCCAACCCTCTACAGTACCGAGTTTATTATAATGTCTCGAATTATTTCACTCAAAAATTTATATTCAAAAATTTCTGAATTTCTGTTTTTATTTAACCATATAAATGAATTTCTTCACTTTTAGTTAATTATTTTATTTTTATTTTTCCCGGGGTTTACATTCTCCCTTCCTATAGAAATTTCATCCTCAAAATTTGAGTGATGTACCTGAATTTATAAACAAGTCAGGGAATTTTTGTCTCATTTCTGATTCTTTCTCCAATGTTTCTTCCTTGATTTGTGAGCTTCGCCATAAGACTCCCATAATGGGAACTTTCTTATTATGAAGTTCTTCCTCGATTTGCCACCCTGATTGCATTGTTGCTGATATGTTCTTTCCCTGGGCTACTGATGCTGCTGCCAAATTTGGAATTCCGAGGCTATTGTTTCATGGCACTAGTAACTTTGCTTTAAGTGCTTCAGAATGCATGAGGCTTTATGAGCCACACAAGAAAGTTTCATCAGATTCCGAACCTTTCGTGGTGCCTGATCTTCCTGGTGATATAAAGTTGACAAAGAAGCAACTACCAGATTTTGCAAGAGAAGATGCTGAAAATGACTTTAGCAAGTTCTTGAAAGCATCTAAAGAAGCTGAATTGAGGAGCTTTGGTGTTGTTGTCAACAGCTTTTATGAGCTTGAGCCAGCTTACGCTGATTACTACAGGCTGGTCTTGGGCAGAAGGGCTTGGAATGTAGGCCCGGTTTCACTATGCAATAGAGACACTGAAGATAAAGCAGGAAGAGGAAAAGAAACCTCAATTGATCAGCATGAGTGTTTGAAGTGGCTCGACTCAAAGAAACCAAATTCAGTTGTTTATATTTGCTTTGGAAGCATGACCGTCTTCACTGACTCTCAGCTTAAGGAGATTGCAGCAGGTCTCGAAGCTTCTGGTCAGCAGTTTATCTGGGTAGTTAGAAGAAACAAAAACGGCCAAGAAGACAAGGAAGATTGGTTACCTGAAGGCTTTGAGGAAAGAATGGAAGGCATGGGACTAATTATCAGAGGATGGGCACCCCAAGTTTTGATTCTTGATCATGAAGCAATAGGGGCATTTGTGACTCATTGTGGATGGAACTCAACTCTTGAAGGCATAACTGCAGGGAAACCAATGGTTACATGGCCAATATTTGCTGAGCAATTCTATAATGAAAAGTTGGTGACTGATGTTTTGAAAACTGGAGTTGGTGTTGGAGTTAAGGAATGGGTTAGAGTGCATGGAGATCATGTTAAAAGTGAAGCTGTAGAGAGGACAATCACTCAAATTATGGTGGGTGAAGAGGCAGAGGAAATGAGGAGCAGAGCAAAGAAGCTAGGAGAAACGGCCAGGAAGGCTGTCGAAGAAGGTGGATCTTCTTACTCTGATTTGAATGCTTTGATTGAAGAGCTGAGGTGGCGTCGCCTGTGAAACGACGCAGACAAGAGGAATGGTTTCGGCGATTTACAGCATTCATCATTTCCTTCATAATGCAATCTTATTTACAAATTAATAAAGTTGCGATTTTATTAAAGTTCCCATTATCGGAGTCTTCTTTTACCTCCACTGGCACTTGAGGTAACACTCTCGAAGGGTCTACATCGGCTTTTCATAGTAAAGAAACATGAAATACATTGTGAACCTTGGCCAACTATGAGGGCAAGTTTATTTCATATACTATGGTTCCGATACGTTTTTAGATTTCAAATGGTCCGATGAACCTCAGAGCTAACTTCCCCTTCATGTCGAATCTCAGCATGTACTTCCATGAAGCTACCTTAAAAAATACTTTGTCTCTAGGACAAAATTCAAGTGGTCTTCTTTGAATATTTGCATACTTCTTCTGTCTATTCTGAGCCACCTTTATTTGATCCTTAATAATCCTTACTTTTTACGTAGTGATTTGTACTAATTCTGCCCCATATAACTTTCTGTCCCGAACTTCTTCCCAACATAAGGGTGTCTTACACTTTTTGCCATAAAAAGCTTCAAATGGGGCCATTCCAATTATTGCCTTATAACTATTGTTATACGTGAATTCTACTAGTGTTAGGTGCTCCTCCCAGTTTCCACCAAATTCCAAAGCACATGCCCTTAGTAAATCCTCTAATATCTAAATAATTCTCTCAAATTGGCCATCCGTTTGTGGATGAAAGGCACTATTGATACTCAAATTTGTTCCCAAGGCACATTATATGCTCGATTAGAGACGTGAAGTAAATCTTAGGTCTCGGTCTGAAAAAATTGATATTGGGACTCCATGAAGCCTTACAACTTCATTTACATAAATCTTAGCCAACTTGTCAACTGGATCTGTCATCTTTACTGGTAGGAAAAGGGCAGATTTAGTTAGTCGATCCACAATGACCCAGATTGCATCATTTCCCCTCTTTCCTCTAGGTAGTCCCAACACAAAGTCCATTGTGATCATCTCCCACTTCCACTCAGGGATTGGTAATGGTTGTAATAGCCCTGCCAGTTTTCGATGTTCTACTTTTACTTATTGGGAAATACTACACTTTGCCACTTAATTAGCCACTTCTTTTCTCATATTTGGCCACTAGTAGTACTGCTTCATATCTTGGTACATCTTAGTACTACCTGGATGTACAGTGAACTTAGACTCGTGAGCTTCTCGTAGTAACTTTTTTTTAAAGGCTCTGTTGCTAGGCACATACATACGTCGCCCCAACATCACTATTCCATCATCACCCATTCGAAAAAGAGTTTCACGCCCCGAGTCCAGATTGATTCTCACTATTAACACCTCATCATCATGCTGTTGTGCCTTTAATATTTGCTCTCGATATCCTGACTTCACCCTTAGTTGAGCCATTAAGGATCCTTCCGGAATCACACCTAATATTGCCCTTAATCTCTTTAGCTCAACATGGTTTCCTCATTCCAAGTCGCTGGTCCATCCCTAATCCCCTTGTCTTTATGGCTGAGAGCATCCACGACCACATTCGCTTTTCCTGAATGATAATCTATAATACAATCGTAGTCTTTAATTAATTCTACCCATATCCGCTGTCCCATATTCAACTCCTTCTGCGACATCAAATATTTAAAGCTCTTATGATCCGTGAAAATTTAGACCCGGGATACGTATAAGTAGTGCCTCCATACTCGTAAAGCAAAAACTACTACTGCCAATTCTAAGTGATGAACTAGATAGTTGACTTCATGAGTCTTCAGTTATCTCGATGCATAGGCATCTACTTTTCTATGTGGCATTAGAACATAACCCAATCCTTTTCTTAAGGCATCACTGTAGATTACAAAGCCTTCTGTTTCGGATGGAAGGATTAGTATGGGGGCAGTAGTAAGCCTTCTCTTCAATTCTTGAAAGCTCTCATCACACTCCTTTGACCACTCCCATCTTGTGTTCTTCCTAGTGAGTCGTGTCAATGGAGTTGCTATTGTTGAAAACTCTTCGATAAATTTTCTATAATACCCTACCAATCCGAGAAAACTATGAATTTCAGTTACCGTAGTAGGCTTTTCCCATCTCAAAACTGCATCCACCTTTTGAGGGTCCATACAAATGCCTTTTAAGGACACTACATGCCCCTAAAAAGTTAACTTTTTTTAACCAGAAGTCATATTTATCTAACTTGGCATACAACTAGCGGCTCCTCAGAATCTGTAGTGTTTGTCTCAGGTGTTGTTCATGCTCCTCATAGGATTTGGAGTAAACCAAGATGTCATCGATGAATACGACAACAAACTTATCAAGGTATGGTTGGAATACTCGGTTCATTAAATCCATAAAAAGTGCTGGAGCATTAGTTAATCTAAAGGGTAGCACCAAGAACTCAAAGTGTCAGTAGCGAGTTCTGAAGGTAGTTTTTAGCACATCTTGCCCCTTGATTTGTATTTGGTAGTATCCTGATATTAAATCAATCTTTCATAATTCTTTGGCACCCTTCAATTGATCGAACAAATCATCTATCCGTGGAAGTGGATATCTGTTCTTTACCGTCACTTTATTCAGCTGATGGTAATCTACACAAAGCCTCAATGTTCCATCTTTCTTCATCATAAATAATACAGGTGACCCCAAGGTGAGTTGCTTGGTTGTATGAACCCTTTGTCTAAAAGCTCATGCAATTGAATTTTCAACTCATCCAATTCTTTTAGGGCCATTCTATACAGTGGTTGGGCTATGGGAGACACCTCAGGTAATATATCTATGGTGACTTCAACTTCTCTTTCTGGGGGTAGTCCTGGCAATTCTTCCAGAAATACATCCGGAAAATCCCTCGCAATTGGAATGTCAAACAATCCTATTTTACCCTTTTCCGAATTTATCACATAGGCAAGGTATGCTGTACAACCTTTCTTTAGCTGTTTTCTAGTAACCATACCCGAGATCATATTTGTAAAGTTGGAAATTCTCTCCCTTTTAAGGACTATTGTTTCACCCTTAGCTCTTTGGAAGGTTAATGTTTTTGTAAAGCAGTCTAGACAAGCCTTATTTTTACCCAACCAATTCATACCTAGAATTATATCAAAATCACTTAATTCTAGGGGTATTAAATCTGGTTTTAGTTCGCGCCCATTAATGTTAATTCCCACCCCTTCAAATACAACATTTGTTTCTATAGTTTCACCTAAAGATGTCCCAATAATAAATCCTTTCTCTACCCTTTTTGTTTCCTTACTCAATTTGGTTACATTTTTATTTGCTATAAAAATGTGAGTGGCACCAAAATCAAACAAACATGCATTTGATAGTCATTCATTTGGAGCATACCTGCCACTATGTATGATGCTGCTCTGACATCCTCCTAGGTCATATGAAAAACCCTTCCTTGATCCCTATCATTTTGCACTTTGGGTCGTCCCCTATTTGAGTTAGCTTCTAACTGAGTCGACCTTCCTGGTTTATTTACTATGATGGACTGCTGATGACTTTGACTTTGCTGCCTATGTCTCTGAGGTTGTTTAGTGTTTAATCGGGGGCATTCCCTTTTAAAGTGACCCCTCTCACCATAATGATGACATCCTCTTCCCAAGTACTGACAGGTTTTCCACTTATGACCTTCTCCTCGACATATATAGCATTGTCTAGGAGAAACCATACAACTCCTGGGGTGTCTTTGTTTATACTAAACACATCAAGGGTAGAAAATTTCCTTTTAATCATTATGCCCCCTTGCAGTTATAGTCCTGGAGCGGGTTTGACCACTTCCCAACCTTTCACCGATATCCTGTCGGAAGCTAGTTAACGTCCCTTTTTTTTTTTGAATTGAAGGAACTGTTCTCCTTTACCTTTCTTTGGAAGAGGTGGCCTACTTAAAAGTTCCATATCCTTTCATTTTCCTACACCCTCATGACTTTGTTAGCTTTCTTCCATACAAGCCTCAAAGGTTTGTGCTGCTTCAATCAGTTCCCTTACTATCCCGAATTGCAAAGCAATCAACCTTTACTTCAATTCTTGCCTGAAGCCATCCCTTAACTTTTCTATCATGTGTTGTTCTGATGGGACATAATATGGTGTGAATAGTGAGAGGTCATGAAATCGTCTCTCATACTCAAGTACTGACATTCCCTCCTATCTTAAGGCTAGGAATTCTTGTTCCTTCATCAGTACTGACATGATATCTGGAGTAATATTGATTCTTAAAATTTATCTTGAAATCATCCTAGGATAGGATTTTTGTAGCCCATCTTAATTAAACTGTCTCCTACCATGTCATAACATCGTCTGATAGTAATTGAGTAGCACAACCTACTTGTAGATCATATGGTATCTTAATTTAAATCGTGGTTTTCTCCACCTTTTTAATCCATCTTCCTGCCACTTTAGCATTTTGTTCACCTGAGTAAGGTTCACAACCCATTTCTTTCATACTTTTCACCAAATGAATTAGATGTACCATGTTATTAGTAGTTGTAGCTACTTCTAAAACGGTTGGTATGATGGTGTAGGTGGGGTTGCTAGCATAGGAGTGGCAGTATTAGCCATACCTTCCATTACTGCTTTGACTATCTAGGCCAGGAGTATCGGATCAACATAAGAAACAGATGGCCCTGCATGTGTAGTCTAAGGGGGCACCTCCACTTGTTCCCGTGGGGCTGACATGGTCGGTCGAACATCCCAAGTTAGCCTTGGTGCCTGTCTAATTTAAGGCCCTATCAAATCTTCATGCCCTACTTGAGTTGATACTACCGGTGCATGTGAAGTAGTATCTTTCAAAGGGCTCTCTTGTTGCCCCTCGGAAAGTCTACATCTCTATTTCCCCTCCTTGCAGAGGATAGATCTATTCTAATCTCTTGACGGGTATGTACCATCCTACAATAAATTAATGACCATCAACAACCTCTTTTGATTTCTTTCTAGAACCTATAACAGGGCTCTAATACCAACTGTAACAGTTGACCATCAACAACCTCTTTTGATTTCTTCCTAGAACCTATAACAGGGCTCTGATACCAACTGTAACAATTCGACTATACGACTCAATCAATGTTA